TTCAAGATGACAGCCCCCCCATATAGTAAATATCGTGTTTAGTTTATTATCACGTGTGCGCCAGCTGACTGTGGGTTAAATATACCGGTACATGTCTTTGCATATACTGTATTGTAAGTACTGAGATGAGAAAATAAATAAAATATTTTTATCATATTCAATAAGAATGCATATTACCGGTATGCAAAATTTTGAGTGTAAATTACTTGGTCTTTGTCAATATACAATTACTTGTATGCAAATAACATGAACGTACCTGGACAAAACAGTATACCCAATGTAAAAGTTTCACCAAGACCCAAGGTTCCGCCAATGCCATCATCATCGCCACCCATAAATGGCATATTATTTCCTTGTAAGAATTTAAATATTCCCTCTTGCAGAGCTTTGTTATGTTTCTTGATATCTACGTTCCATTTCAGTTTCTTATCACTGTTGTTCACCATCAAAGTCGTTTTACTTTGTCCAGAGACTCCCTGCTGTGCTCCCATTTCATAGAACCCGGACGGTAAGGAGAATTCCATAACAGTATTAGACAGTTGCAGTGGTTGACGCATTGCCGTGGCGATGATATGCCGTCTTGGTGTAGCAATAGTATGGTGTATGGGACGTGGAGTGATGATGTGCTGAATACTTTTATTGGATGGTGCCGGTGTTGGTGGGAATGGTGTGGGATTTGGGGTTGGTGCATTGGTCTGGTTAATACTAACAGGAATGATGAAGTCATAAGCTGCTACTTCACTTGGATGAAATGACAGTTCACATTTGATTACATCTTCACCATTTACAGTCACATGATAGATACCAGGATGTGAAGAATCTTGAGTCTCTGTACATAAAAATGTAATAAATAATTGTACAATGTTATAAGTATTATTGCCCAGAGCTTATTATTCTCTCTTAATATACAAACATGTAATTCAAATTCCATGGTTTCACCACAGATCCATTTTGCGGCAACAAATCTGTAAAGTGCAGTGGACAATAATGCAACTAGTGCAGTGTAACTAAAAAATGTATTCTATGTATTATTTTCACAAATGGGCTCCCATCTTGTACCAAAACAGCAATTGTGATCGCTCAAATATAACAGTTTGCAATGATAATATCAATAATGTTCCTTTGTTTGCAAAACAGGAAGCTATACTGCAATACTGCTGGTTGGGTTGCTTTTTCTTTCACAGTAAAGACTGGAAAACAGAATGTGTGGTTAACATAGTCTCTAGTTTGGCACACCATCAATAGTCTAATGATGATGTGATTAATAAAAGGACCAAGTACCACAAAGACAAAGGCAGCGTCTTTTAATAAAGACCTTACTTTTATGTCAGTAAGAATCACTGTGAAACAATGTCAAAGATGGTAATGTAACTTGTATAAGAATATGTGGACATTAACAAAAGCACACAAACCTTCCATAACATCACCGTGAAACTTTAATGAGAAATCCTGATATCTAGATAGATCAAACTCAACTTTAGCTCTGGTCTGTGCTCGGTTGATGAGTTTGAATGGAACTGTCATAATAGATCCACAATAGACACCGCCAAGATGAAAAGAAGGCTGAAATTAAAAACAAAATATAAATTAACTCATGGGATACCATGTCAGTATGTAATAGCAGAGAGTATTATCTTAAATTTGCCTTTCTTTGAATTTATTGAATCCAAATGTTATCTTATGTATTTATAAGCACAAACTTTTTCCTAATGAGGCCTCTGCCAGTATATCTATAGTGTAAATATTAACACAACTCACTTCAAAACGCTACAGATTACAGGTTTCTCATTTACATATAATAGGTGATAATAATAATAACGATAGCAATTGTGAACATTTAACTTGGTGGCAGAATATTCTGGTGCACAGCCAACAATACAAAATGTACTCACCAAGTCAATGTCCACTATTGGTGGTTCTACTGTGCCACCCATTCTTAAATCAACAGTTTTCCAACCACGGATTGCCACTTGTACACGAGTGTCAAACTTGAGTACAGCACTTGGTGTTAAGCTGACTTTGATTTCTGCAACACCACCAACAGGCACAACTCCATGTGTGGGCAGTACAGTTAATCCAGGGAATGGATTAGGATCTATCACCTGAGAAAAAATGACCAAGTTAGCATATACATGCATTTTTTGTGTACTCGGTAATATATAAATTATGTACATGTACTACATTATAATGACAGTGTTATGTATTGAGTAAGAAAACAATTATTAACTTACCTGGAAATATGCATGGTTTTGACTTGTATTGTACAACTGTGCTGTTCTTACAGTTGTTAGATGTAAAGGCACTGCCCCAAATAGAATTCTCCTTTCTATAAACTGTACTTGTGTTGGTCCAAGCTACAACACGTACAAATAAATTACATTAGTTACATCATTTATTATCAGTAACATTGATTAGGCAAAAAGAAAAATAATTTTCCAAAACAGAAATGTTATCTGTAATATATGTCAGTCATAACAAGTAGTAAGTTACGAATTATACATACATGTCTGTAGATATATTGTTTGGAGTGGACATTACATAGATACATTTTCTTCTATAATAATATTTAGTAAATTACCTGATGTGGTAGGGAATATATCACATAGAAATGAGATACTTACATTAGCCAAACAGTTCAGTTTCATGGTAGTTCCACCGTGTACTTGTAATGCAAACTGTCCTTCTTCTGGAGCATGGAATGATGGATGGAATACAACTTCACATTCTAAATCTTTGAATGCATCCACAGTTCCTACAATTAATAGTTACACAAACTCAATAATACTCCATACAATGTTCTTTTATGTCAACCAACAAATCCACTATTTTACACAGTCAGTGTATTATCTGTTGAGCTATAATTCACTGATTTGTTTGGAGACTACCAAATAAAATATCTCTAAACATGTGTAATAAGTGACTCACAATAAGGTCCAAGAGCATCGTAAAATCTGTATTAGAAGCCACATCCCTAATAGAAGTCACACACATTCTTTTTGAATAATTGAGAACCAAAAATTCATCATTTTTCATATGTGTAGGTGCTCTAATAGAAGCCGCATCCCCTCTATTGTATTGTACCATTTTAATAAAAGCCGCAGTTTCTAATACAGATTTTACAGTAACAGAAATTGTGCCTGGACTGTACTGTATCAAACTTATATAAAATATAAAATTCACTCAATGGTTTCTAGCTGTACCCGAATAATAATACCAACAAATGCACAATTCTATGCTTGGTCGAAGGCTAATACATGTACATTACAATTATGAGGTTGAATTTTTAGGTTTCAATTTTTTTTTACAGTGATCAGATCTGTGGAGTAGAGATAAAATAGAGAATACCAGTATGTTTATTGATAGTAACACTTACCGGTAGCTGGTCTTATAGAAAAAGCTGTGCCTCTTTCACCCAGGATTGGCTGCCAAGTAAAATCAGCTGGATAGTTACGAGAATTTTTCAATACAATAACATCTCTTAAACCTATCAAATAAATAGACAAATCCCTAATTAATATTTAACTATACATCACTATTTTTATTCTAAAGAACATCATAACAGTATTTATAACTTATGAGATCATGTTAGTATCTACTGAATGACATTCAGACTAAAGATAATTCTTCATGGTGATCACTGAGAAATCATTTGAGTCATAATTATAAAATTAATAAATGTGAAATATGGACCATATTTATGAGCATTTTGCAATGGCTGGAAATAATCAACTGTAATGGTACTGACACTTTGTCTACAGTTCCTTACCTGCTTCAGCTGGCATGCCTGGTGTAGGTCTCAATGTTAGATCAGTTGTGGACAACACCAGGGACACTGGCACAACCTCAGCAAATACAATAACATGGTCTTGATGGTGACCGTTTACTGTGTACGTTACATTCCTACAAATTACAAGAGTTGTAGTTGTATAGTTCATGTGTTGTGATGGTCTTATAAATATAGTAACCTAACACTGGATCTGTTATGTAATAGTTTTGATGACATTTATGTAAGTGAATATACTGGTACTAATACAGTTACAACGAATACAACATAGAGTAAAGTTTCATTAAAAATCATTGTGTGACTTGACAACGTTGAGTTTTGGTATATGAGTAATCAAGTATTCCAACAACTTACCTTTGGAATCTGCCTTTGGTACTGGATTCAAATATGAGTGGTAACTGTGCTTTTGAGTGTGCGGGTACTACCTGAGATAGTGGACTGGTTTGACGTAATTCACGGCAATCAATCTATGAATAGAGAACACTGTGTTATGGAATGTGCATGTGAAAATCACACAAAAAAGGTTCATGTGTTTTTTTAAGATTGAGTTTTTCTGAATATATTGCAATAAAAAGTATGTGTTGCTACTTACATCTACCACTACAAGAATATGATGAGATAAGTTGTTAACGATGTCCATGTGTTGGATACTGGTAGATTTCAAACATACTTCACCAAAATTAATGGTAGGTGGACCTAAAATAAAAGAGAACAAAGTAATATACCCGTCAATCACAAAAGTGAACACCACTAACATTGGAGCCTGAATTCAAATACATTGTACAAGGTAACAAAAGTTTTTATTGGTTTCAACTGAAGAGAGGTCATGAGACTGGTAGAAAACATTTTTTGAACGTTCACCTCTATAAATTTCTGATAACAAATTATCCTACAGAATCATTTCACCAGATATCTGAGTTGCTGGTGAGTTATCACATGACTTTTATAAGTTAACTTACCAATAACAACTTGATGTAATTGTTGCGGCGACAATCTTTTTTTACACTCTGATCTTTCTTGTTTATTCATAGGTACTGCATTCAAACCTTCACTAACTGGTCTGCTTGTTGCTTCCTTCTCAGCGTCAGCCAATTCCTTAGTGTTCAACATGCGAAACACACTGTGTGGAGGAACTGGAGCTGTCAAGACAAATTATTATTATTTTACAATGCTAATAATGCTGTATTTTCAATAAATCATACAACGTTTTCCTTAGAAATTTAAAACACTGTGGTGGTATAAATTTACATACTAGTTGTATATCATTTGCATAATTATTTAAAAAAGAGATTATGATGTTATGATTAACCTACTCAATTACACAATGCACAAAATTTATAATACAAAACTTCTATTGTTTAAAGAGTGTTACAACTATATACAAGTTATCAATTTTATTTAAAATGTCATCAATGGCACAGTGAAAATGGCACCATGGGAGTCAGGATAATGACTGAATCAGACCAGTGTGGCAGTAAAATAAAGCACTGTGGTGGTATTGCCACACTGTTTGTATCCTGTTGTATTCATAGATCAAGTAAGATTACAGGGAAGAAAGATTTATTACATGGTTGAAGTTATACTTAAATTCTGTCATCCAATGCTGATCATTTCATAATCTTCAACAACATTTATCAACAAAATAATTCCAATTTTATGATCAGAAAAAATGTCAAACTATTTGGGTTAATATAAATACCAGTAATATGAAAGGACTCACTTTTCAAATGTTTTTTAATTTCATCAACTTTAGGCTGTGGTGACCTCAATCCAGAGGCTGGTTTCACACCTATGTCAGTTGCATTATTCACCTCCTTAAATTCCCTGAAACAGTATTCAGTAAACTGATGTTAAAAAGCATAGAAATACAACCATCAAACTAGTACAAATAGTGTGGACAAGCAATGAAACAAGAAGTACCAATCTTGTGCTGATTTACCTTGCTTTCTTTCTGACTGTTCTATTTTCTCTCAACTGCTTGATGTAACCAATGTATTGATCTCTATGTGCTTTCTTAGCTTCCAGTTCTTCATCAGTGTAAGCATAGTCAGGATCCACATATGTATATCTCTCATTCTTAGTGAAAATAACACTGTCAAAATAACACATTTAAGACATTAATTGTATTAATTTCATATTGAAACCTAATTTAGGTTAGATTTAGACTTCAAAAGCATAAAGGCCTCATTAAACACTGCTGATAATTGAATGTAACGCAGTTTTCATTTGTGAAAAACATCGATATTCAGAAATCAACATCAGAATATTAAATTCTGAAATAACAATAATACTTACGCATAATTATCTCTTCTAAAGCTAGGTCTGATGCTTCTATCTCTGTCATTTGGATATGAAACCAATGTGAGGTCATCCTTGGTTTTCTTTCCTGCCTCTGCTATGTGCAACCCTTTGCTTCTTGGAGCATTTAACATGGCTGCTCTTGGATCATATGGTTTAGCTTCAGAAAACTTGACATCAACGAACTGACCCACTTCACCAACTACCAATGGTGTAATACCTAAATTAATGAGATAGATATAAAGTTTTGAAATAGCACTCTCTACAGGTCAAACATGTATTTTTTTTTGTTTTTACAGCATATTTAATAAGCTGAGAATTTCAGATATTTCATTCACTTAACTCACCAGGGTTAAACTTGGGTTGCTTCTTGGTAGTCTGCGGACTACTGACTCCAGTGAATGCAATATGCAGGGTGTGTATAGGGGCAAGGTGTGTTCCCATGACAGTGTCATCATCAGCTACTGGTCCTAATATATCCACAAACTGTATTTTCTTGAATGTTCCATACTGGTTAGGTTTGAAAGAAAATATGACATCATGACTCTGTCCTGGTGTCAATCTTCCTACTGGGGGACTAGCGTTGAACTGAGCCACACGACGGAATACAAACGATACAGGCAGCACTGTAGATTCATTCTTCAATGTACACAAAGTATCTACATGCTCCTCAACTGGACATTCACCAAAGTCATACTGACTCTGTGGAGATAAGCTTATCAAGACAGGTAAGGCTGTACCGGTCAGTGCTAATTCTACTTTACATCGGTTACCTAAAAAAGAAATCACATGATTAATCAGACTTAAAACAGATTTAATGAAGTAAACAAGGTTTTTTTTGTGGGATGACTCACTAGGATTCGTGTGAGATTAAATTATTTTCTTATTTTTTGGGATTATGTGAGCATGCTAGAAATGACTGTAAGTAAAATACTTTTTGCTGAAATCAATTTTCACTGAAAAGACATTTTGACTGATGAAGTTTAGTTTCACTGATTGGTGATGAGTTGAATGTAAAATATAGGAAAAAAGGTATTTTCAATGATTTATCCCTTTATGAAAAAAAGCAAAAATTAGCAGTATTGAATTACTGGGCTGAGAGTATTCAGCTATTATTTGGCTCAATAAATGTTGAACATTAGAATTCAAACAAACTTGAAAAAATATCACTTTTAGAAAATCAAGTGTCTTAAGAATAGTTTGTTGTTAGATTGACAATATCAAGATTGTAAAGATAAATATTATTCCAGGCTACAATAAATCATTAGAATAAATACTCACTGTTTTCATTTTCATTTTGTTTTTCATTATCATCAGAGAATCCCTTATTGCTGCCAACCATCTCAATATGTACAAACACTGCATAGTCTTGTCTTGGGGCAATGTTCACAGTTCCTTTCCAGCCCTGACTGGATTTATGAAATCTTGGACTAAATCGGAAAAATACTGGTAATTTTTGATAGGGTCCAAGCACTCCTTGATTTGGTATTGCAGTGAACAAGGCAGCCATATCATTTGTGACACTTGGCTTTGTTTTGTTAGGGTTCATGATGGCTGTAGTAGACTTTGATAAATCAACACCCTGTGTGAACAAAAAATGACAGTGTATTTGCTACATGGCACATAACAATTTGGCATCAGTAAACAACATGCTTTGACTGTTTATAACTCGCAACCATTTAAAAATATTTTACCATTAATAATTAACTACATATTAAAAATTATTTTTAACAATGAATAAGAGATATAAAACATACAAAAGATAGAATAGTGAAAAAGATAATGAACTTACCACTTCTTCTCCAAGAGCACCTTCCTGCATAACAGTAACAAAACTGACAGGATCAGGACCATTGTTATACATATAGTCCCTTCTGTTTTATCGGTGCCATAGTATGTCTGTCCAAATGGTACACAGTTTAT